AGGAAATTACTGAAATGAAACACAGATCTTAGGAAATTACACAGGATGAGACACCGAGAGGTAAAGATATACAAATGTTAAAAAGATATTAAAAGAAGTGCAATATAGAATAAGAGTTGTAGAGGAACAAAATAAGAACAAGGAAAAGGCAATAATTGAAAAGATAATGGCTCAGAATTTTCCAGAATTGATGAAAGACATGAATCCTTAGTTTGAAGAAGCTATCCCAAACATGATATCCCACGATAAAGCAATATCACATTGTATTTACCCCTAGTGACATGGGTTATTCCTAGCATTACAGAGTGAAATATTAGAAGCAAAACTAAAGGGAAACTCTGCAAGTTAGTGACACTGAAAACATAGGCTGTTTATAAGAGAACTCCAGTATTAGTGGAGGCTGGAACAAAACGGAATCATTGCCTCAAAGTGCGGAGGGAATGTCAGTCCAGGGTTCTATGTTCAGATAAATTATAGCTCAAGAGTAAGGGCAGACAATTTGAGAGAGTACATCACCTGTTTATTTGTTGAAAGAAATACTAAAGGATGCTTTAAAAGAAAAGCTTAGAAAGAAAAGGAGAAAACTATCCAGAAGGAAGCAATGGGGTGAAAGAAGCAATGATGAGCAAAAAATTTGCTAAGCAGGTGGGCATATTTAAGTAAGCATTGACCCCCAAAAGCTGATAATTATAACAATAATAACCTATTTTGTGAGGTTTAAAAAACAAAACTAAAATACTAGACAATAATAACATAAAAAAACTAGGAATGGAAGAAATTTAAAGCATGAGAAGAATAGTAAAAGTTTAAATTAAATTTAGACTTTTAAAATTAAAGCATAAAGTTTAAATATTTGGCGGTAGTCTTTAAAAGGAAAAAAATGAAATAAACAACTTCCAAATCAATAGAGTAAGTGAGTGGGTATCTAGCAAAGGGCCTTGGATGCTAGGCTAAGTTGTTTGTAAAGCATTCTATAGGAGACGAGAATTATCCAAGGCTTTCTAACAAGTGAGTGACCAGATCGAGACTAACCCCACCTTACACTCCCCTGACCCACGCTGGGCAGAATTAATCACTTACTCTGGGCTCCAAACCATTTTGGAGGTGTCTCTGAAATAGCAGCTATCATATTGTGCTTTACGTACATATGTGTACAGCACGCAAACGTCTTTCTTCTGAGCTGTGAACTCCTCAAGAGAAGACACATTTTAGGAATCTAAGTTAATGACCTTTTAGTGGAGTGGTAAGAGTCTGAAACTAGTGAGCTTTCTGTCCTAGCAAGCCTGCCAGACCCTTGTCCCTCTCCCAGCTTCGTGTCCTTCCTTTTAAGGGCTGCACCCCATCGCTCTCTTCCGGGCCAGCCTGGGGCACTGGGACGCCTGGGAGTTGATGTCCCCGGGATCCTGTTGCTGAAGAATGAAAGCCCAGCTTTCTTGCTTCCAGTTGAGACAAACTCTGAGGAGTCGTTTTCCCTCCAGACTCCACCAAGGATGTGGTGAGGCTGGGATTTTGCCTGAAAACGAACTCCTGCTTGGCTTCTCTTTCTCCTCTTCCTTCCCTGACCTGCTCCCTGCAGGCCGCTGCTGCTGTTCCCTGGGAGTCTTCCACACAAACCCTCATCCCCGGGTCTCCTCCTACCTCGCCTGAGACAAAGCCAACATGCCACCAATCCCAAAGCACTCATTCAGGGCTCCTCGTGTACCTGGCTCTGTCCTGGCCACCTCAGAAAGTCATCTCGTCCCTGTTCTGTTCTTTTCTCCCCTCTGCCCCTCCTCCTCCCTCCCCCCTTCTCCCTCCCTCCTCCTCTCTTTTCCTTTCTTTTTCCATCACCCTAGCCATGGAGCAAATCAGCCACCATCTTCCACATCCCTGGCTGCACTGGGAGCGAGGACACCCAAATGCAGCTATTGAGTAGTCCTTGGTTAAATCCTTTCAATTCTCCCGGATTTGTTTTCCTGATTTTTTTATATACTGTTGTCCCTCACAGGTTTTCTGTGATGACTTAAATGAAACAAGAGACACAAATACATTTTGCAAGAAATAAAAAAAAATGTCACACATGCAGAGGATCAGGATTCTCTTCAAGGGGGAGGAGAAAGTCTCCAGCCCCCTCCTCCTCACGTTCCCTCCTGCTGGATGATCTCGCCTCTGAGCCCCTGCGGCGGCGGCCGCTGTGGATGGCAGGGCCAGGCCTCGGGAGGGGCCTGATGTGCTGCAGCCTCCCACTGAATAAGGAGGCTGCCTGGTTCCTTGGGCAGGGCTGAGAAGTATTAGCAACTGTGGCAGGGAGGGTCAGCCAGACGCGGCTCCGTTCCTGTTAATCAGGACTGAGGGGAGCGTGTGCGTGTAGGTGGCAGTTGAGCCTCACTACCCCGAGGCCCCGCGGGCCCTGCTCAGGCCAGGCACCAGGCTGGGCTCTCAGCGCCAGCGCTCCGCCCTCCCTCACTTCTCTGCCTTCCAGTTCCCTGTTCTCATCCTCTTTCTCCCTGCTCGCTTCTCAGATTCGATTCCCTTTCCTCTTGTTTTTTATTCTTCTTCCCACTCTTCTGCTTCTAGGATTCTAACAATCCTTGCTAACATTCTTTGCTTCTGTTTTCTCTGACTTACTCTTCTGTCTGTACCCTTTCTCAGTTGCTTACTTCCACCTCGGTGTTTTTGTCCTTTTCTCCTTCCTGCCTTGCTCCCTCCTTTTTTTTTCCTTACACACACACCATTAACTCCTCTTTCTTGTGTCAACAGACACCCTGATCCTTGGTTGACCTGCAAAGGCCAAGCTCAAAGATCTGAGGTAACCCTTCCTGGCTCCCACTGAGACCAGTGTGTTTACCTCACACTTTGCTGACCTCACAGAAAATTCCAAATCAAGGGGGCCCTCTCCTTATGTATTTTTTGCCCTCACAGCTGAGAAGGAGAGGTTGCAGCTAGAATCTGACAAGCTCTCCTCTGTTTCTCCTCCTCCACCTTCACCTCTCCCAACTGAGCCCAGACCCAGATGGAAACACACTTCCCAATGCAAGGTCACACGGTGTTGGCCCTCGCCCTGCATGGGGATTGTTGTTCTCATCTTTGATTACCCTGTGCCTGCCCTCTTGGTCTGTGTGTTTGTGTGTGCGTGTGTGCACAGGCAGACATCTACATTTCTGTGTGGAGAAATGCATATGAGATAAACATGCTCATAACTCTCTGTGCAGAGTCCTCATGTGAGGAAATGCGGAGATGGTGGAAGTGGGCATGTGTGGAGTGCATGGCTGGGATGAGGATGGCTATGTGCGCATGTGTGTCCACAGATGTGTTTCTCAGCAATATTTTGCTGAAAGCTATTGAGGGGTGTCTGGAAAATGACATTTGTAGAAATGCATATTTAACAGAAGATATGAACTGAAGTGGGAGAAATTTTTTACGTGTGTGGTCTTTGTGTGAGATGAGCTTTGGATGGAAAACAGAAAGGAAGCTCTCTTGTACTTCTCAGAAGCACTTCTCTCTTATGATAGACCCTTAAAATGTCCAATTCTAGGGCAGCAACCAATATCCGCGGTGCGGCTTCCCTCCAAGAGCTGGCTTTGCTTCCAAGAAGCTTAGTAGACTAAGAAAAAAGCATCTTGACCCTGCCCACCAGTCACTCAAACCTCAAGGATCCGCACTTACGCACGCACGCACGCACAGATTCCCTCCGGTCTGGGCAGAGCACCCGGCTCTTCACCTGCCCAGCGGGGCTGCTCCCCCGTCCCTCTGAGGGGTGGTTTCTCAGAGCAGGATCCAGCTGCGGTGGCCCTCAGGTGTCCGTGTCCTGCTCTTGGTCACAGAGGACTTATACATAACAGGGGAGGAGGAGAGCAAAGAGCAAACACTGCTTCTGCGAGTCCTGCCCCACGTTCCTGGACCCCGCGTGCCCGGGCCGCCGCCGCGCCCGGACCGGGCCTCCCAGGAGGGGGCGGTCCTGCCTGAGTCCCTGCCTCGCTGGGGCGGGAGTTTGGGGTCCGTTTCCAGCCTGGACGAACCCTTCCGCCAGCCTCAGGCGCCACCTTGTGGCCGGCTCTTACTATTACAATTCCTTACCCGCCACCCGCCCAGCCCTTTAATTGCCAAATGCTGGCTTTAAATGCTTAGCTGTTTGCTCTGCGCTTGCCTGTTTGAAGGGAGTTCTGTGCACAGTGTCCCAGTATTTTAAGAGCTTCTAGGACATGCATTCTTCATGTCATAGTACTTATGGCACTACATGACATTTGCCTTCCTCACGCACTGGATGATGAGCTCTTGAGAAAAGACCACGTCTGTTGGTCCCCATTGCCTGCATGCACATGGCAAATCGTAGGACCCAATTAACTGCTTAATGAGTAAATAGATAGATAAATGCTTGGATGGGCAGATTCCTGGAAATAGGGAAGGAGAGATGGGGTTAGAATAATCTTTAAGCTTGCTTTAAGCTCTAATATTTTATGATTACAGAGCTTTGAGCTCTTTTGAGAAACAATACAGTGATTATGGTGGGGTCAGGTAGCGACTTTCCTTTGAATGGACCTTATTTGCTTCTGTGGGGGGGGTCTGGCCTCCTCATTCTATGGGGAATTTCATGTTCTCTGGGCTCAGCCTGCCCAGAACTAGGCACGATCTCCGGGGTGTTCATTTCTGTCACCCAGCCCGGGTAGGAGGGTGAACGGGTGGGAGGAACCATTTTGGGAGAGTGTTGGGGAGTGTTTGTGCGAGATGACTCAGGGCCATGGGGCTAGGAGCCTTAATCTCTGCTCCCTCCCTGTGGGGGTAGTTCTCACCAGTCTGCGGGGGACGGAGGACCACCAACTGTCTCTGGAAAGTTTTCTTAGTCATAGCTTATATGAAGTCAGCTGGGACTTTATGTAATGAGGCCTTCACTCTATAGACGAACAGAGTACGATGGGTCAGATGGCTGCTGCTCTTTCTGCAGAGGCACTTACCGGTTCCAGCCCTCCTAACTGCTGGGACGTGTGACTGGGCCTCCCCTTAGGAAGTAGCACTTTGAGGGCTAAAGGCCACGGACATTTATTCCCACTGGAAAAAGGTTTGGGTTATCTTTATGAACCCCATGGGAATGCCTCAGTGCCTCTGGGGGTGTTCCACTCTCTCCTCTTAGTCCAACATCAGATAGGGGTGGTGTGGACAAAGCCAGGGCCCCACAGCACCCTAGACTCCCACATCTGTGCGAGCCTGAGCAGCAGGGAAGCTCCAGGGCACGGCTGGCGGTGAGTCCTCTCCAGTGCTGTGGGCAGGCAGAGCCCCGTCTCTGCTCTCTTGTGGCCTCACTCTCCAGGCAGAGGATGCAGCCCGGAGTGTCCTGTCTGACGCAGGAGCCAACCTGCCAATCACAAGGAGAGTTCTGTCAGAGACAGCTCCAGATAAGGCCTGAAGTGATTGTGCATATGCGCCTGTGTAGATGGAGAGAGATCCGTAAAAAGAGAAAGAAGGAAAGGCGGGAGGGGAGCGCTTTGGATGCTGGTGACTGGCTTGGCTGAGGGGACCGGGCCGCTGGAGCCGCTGGGAAGAAAGAGCAGGACTCAGGGGTCTGTGCAGAGTTTCGGGGCCTTCCATAGAGCTTCTTCAAGGTACCTGAAGACTCCCGGCAAAGCCCATGTCTGTCCTCCTTTGCTACCTGCTGGCAGGAGAGTGCTCTTTCTTGTGCCTCGGGTCCAAGGAGCTGGGCAGCAAGCTTTGGAAAAGCTAAGTCAGGAACTGTTTCACCTGGGGGCGGGGTGCTAAGGCGTAGCACCATTGCAGGGTCAGGCCATGCTACTCCCCAGAACGAGAAGGAATGTATGTGCTTGAGAAATTAAGCTGGAAAAATGAAGATGAATTTCCTGTCAGCAAGGATGGACACTCTGGCCCAGTGGCCTGGGAAGGAGGAAAATTCTGGAAAGAGAATTACAAAATCAGGCCTTATTCGATGAGCATATCCTGGACAAGAGTTAGAGCTGAGCAGAGAGGGTGGTAGAATAGAAGAAACTTGTGGTTTCCAGGAGCCTCCAGCCCATCGTTATAGCTCTGGCTCTTCCTCTATGCTAGGAAGTTCCGTGGGGGCCAGAGGCCTCCCTGAAGCCAGATGGAGAAGCCAGAAGGAAGGACCTTAAGGAGGTCCTAAGATGGAGGGAGACTAATTGAGAAAAACAGCTGGGCCCAGGGGCAGAGAAGGAGTTCCCAGGCTGGTTTCACATTGATCCCAGATCTCTGAGCCATGCCTGCAAGGCCGGTGCTGTCAGCTGGATGGGGACGAGTGGTCCTGGTGGTGAGGAGGAAGGAGACACCCTCCTCTGCTCAGGGGCCTGCAGTGGGGAGATGCACACCAGGGCCTTCCTTCTGGGTCCCCATTGAACTAATTGTCTAAGCTGGGGAGAAGCTGGGGCTGCCCTGAACCTGCAAGGGAAGGAACGAATGAGAGAGCACCAGGAAAAGAAGAAGGGACAGAGGTTCCCCAGCACACCCCCAGGTGCCAGGCAGGCTGCAGCCCTGTGGAGGCAGGGTGACGCTGAGGTCTCTGAAAGAGGTCTGCATTCAGGCCGCCATCTTCTGTTCCTGAGCTTGAGGTATGACCGGCGGAAGATCTGTTGCTACCCTCACATGCTGAGCCCCGACTCCCTGGAATGTCACGTGCTTCTGCCTTATCTGAAGTTTTAGGACATAATGCAGTAGATTATTTAGGGCCTGGGGAAGGTCTCCAGGAGCCCTGACCCATGGCATTTGGCGCTTACTGTGCTCTGTGTCTACACTGCCTTGTGTTTGGCTTGGATTTGCTCGGTGATCTCCTAGGGCAGATCTTCCTTCTCAGGATGCAGCTGTTCCTGCCCTCTTTCTGGACCTCAGAGAATCAGCCCTGATGTCTCAACTGCATTGTCAGGCTCCCTCAATGTTTTTAAGAGAGGAGGCAACAGAGCAGAGACATTACACCTGCAAGCATCAGAACCGTATTGCCTGGGCTGAAAACTCAACTCTACTACGGACTAGCTGTATGACCCTGAGCAAGTCACTTCCTGTCTCTGATTGTGGTTCCATTCCTGTAAAAGAAAGCTAGTAATGGGACTTAGCTTGAGGGTGTGTTCTGAGGACCAAATGAGATAATGCGTGGAAAGTCATCTTTGTCCCTTGGGTTACCACAGTAAGCCCCAGTAAACGTTAACTCTTGTTTTTATACGTGACCTGCCTCACATATCTAATCTTATCTGCCCCAAACAAAGACAGTGCATTCCAGCAAGGCTGGCCTCCTCCTTCCTGTACCAAGAACAGCCCATGCTCAGCCCCACTGTCACGCACATAAATGTCCTCCCACCTCCTGTTCAGCTCCTCACACTCCCCCACTTGGAGGCCCAGCTCAAGTGCCGCCTCCTTCCCAAAGTCTTCCCTGATGATCCGAACCCACACACATCTCTTCCTCTTCTGATTGAGCTTCCAACCAGTGCCTTGAAATTTAACATTTAAATCACAGAAGCATAGATTTGAGAGCTGGGAGAATCCTTACAAATGACCCCAGGCAGTTGCTCTTAATCAGGAATGGTTAATAATAGCAATGATAGTGCCGCAGCATCCTTTAGCATTCATCAGAAGACCACTAATTAACCAGAGCCCTTTTGCTGAGCCTGAATGCTGCCTCAGAATCCTTTTCAACACAGTGCTTCGGGCAGGCAGCACCAATCCATCAGAAGTGCTACTGCCATCCATCATCCAGACAACTAGAAGAAATCTATATGGATGAGGTAGCTGGGCTTTTCTAGGTGTGGGGACCTGCTTCAGACCCCAAGGCACTGGAATAGAACTCTTATCCAGTGCTCCTGGTCCTACACTGGGCCTCTTCACTTATCTTTTGTTGTCCTCTGCCTATTCATCTTGCCCTCCCAATTAGATTGCAATATTTGGGAGGGTAGGAATGACACCTTCTAGTGTCTTCCTCAGCAGTGAGCACAAGTCAGGACGCATCACATGCTCCCCTGCTGACAGGGTGATGGCTTGGGTTTCTCCCCACTCCCTTTCACTTTTCTTCAGAGCTCATTCAAAGGTGGAGGGGGGTTGGGGTTGCAAGGAGACTCAGGCTCTGCACTGATCAAGTCTGCCGGGGCTTCTGGAGTCCCTCCGTCTGCCCACAGCAGCCACAGGAACTCCAATCACTTCAAAGTTGCAGACGGCTGCTGGACATCCGGAGCCCAGAGCGGGCATCTTTGCTCTGTGACTTGTCCGCCGAGGGGCCTCGAGGAGTCCTTCCTTCTTTCAGGGCCTCTGCCTCCATCCACTCGAGGGTGGGGGTCTGTAAGGGAAAAGGAGAGAGAAGTGGCACAGCTGGATGCCCACCTCTCCTGGGCCCCCGAGGGCTTGGCGACGGGACTCATGAAGGGTCCTTTGCACATGGAGGGCAGAGTGGGAGCAATGGTGTGGACGGCACATGGGGCGTTGGAGGCGCTTTCTCTCTCTACTAGGACTCTTGGAAGGCCAAACGGAGTCTTCTCTCCAGAAGCTACTGAAAGGCAGCGTCACCACCCATCCAGTCCCCCAAGCTGCGAACTCAGGGTCACCCTGAACCCCCAGTGCCTGTTCTCAGTGCCTGAGAACCCAGACAGTTCTCTCAAGGTGCTCCTTCCCAAGCCCCTGGAATGTGTGCCCTCCTCCTGGTCTCCCAGCCACACCAAGTCCCTCTCATGGGTCTTATCTGCAGACCAGCAGCCTCCTAATAGAGTTCTCTAGTCATGTCACAACTTTGCTGGAATTTTCTAAAACATAGATTTCATTATGTCATTCTCTGCTTAAAAATCATTATCACCTCATCATCTTCAGGAGAAAGGTAGACTCCTTGGCCCAGGCTTTCTCAGCCTCTGTACTGTTTACATTCGGACCCCACAATTGTTGTGGTGGGGCTGTCCTGCGCACCGTAAGCTGTTTAGCAGCATCCCTGGTCTCTATCAACTAGAAGCCAGTGGCATCTCCCCCCCATGCCCCCGACAGGTTTTAACAACCAAAAATGTCTCTGGACATTGACAAATGTCCTCTGGGTGGCAAAATCGCCCCCACTGAGAACCACTGTTTTAGCCATAAAACAGGCTAATAACTTAAGACATACTTACTTAACTCTGTGCTACCTGCTTCCCATGGACCCTTTCTGTTCCTGTCCATGTCACTGGAGGGCAGGCCCTGTTAGTATCCTTGTTTTATAGAGGCTTAGAAGGTACCCACTGGAAGGTATCCGGATCTTTCAATAAAGGCAAAGACTTTTTTCTTTCACGTGGGATAAGAAGGGAAGGAGATCATTCAAAATCTCTTCCCTTCGAGGCCAGGGCCACAGAATCAGAGACTAGTCAATGCAGGATTAGAACCCAGGCTGCCTGCCACCATGATCTGATTTCTCCCCACGTGCCCAGCCTACTCCTTTCCTGTCCCCACAAGGGGGTGCCTTCCCCAACACTGTCTGCACTCCCCCAGCCCCACCTCAGCTCCTCCTCCACCTGGTGAAGTCCATTCATCACTCACTGCCTAGGCAAAACCCGCCCTTTTCTCTGTGAAGGCCTGCAGGCCCCATCAGGAAGATACAATGACTCCCTCCTGTGCAGTTCAGGTACAGACACAGCCTCAGTGGCACATTCTATCAGGCTAACTGTGCAGGCATCTGTCTTCCCTGCCAGACTATGAATGATCTGGGGGCTCTGGTTTGCCCCCCTCCTTTGTAATGACAACCTGTACGGAGCACACGCTCCCCAAATGCTTGGGGAACAGGATGGAGTGGGTGGCTGCACCGATGGCCGGCTCCTCCAAGAGCTGATACCCAGTGCCCACTGGACGTCAGGACTACAGTGCCTCTGGGCTGAGGTGGCCTCTCAGAGTACACAGCCTGAGGAGCCACATATGGCTGGATTTTGTCCCCTTGGCTGGGGGCCGTTGAGTTGTGCATAAACTGCAGTCTTAGAAAGTGGCAGAGCTCAGGGTGCCTGTCATAATGGAATCCCCACATTAGCTCTCATGTGGTCCACTAGGAGTGGGCGTGCAGGTGTGGGCCCACTGTGGGTGCGTGTGTCAACATGCATGTCTGTGCGGGAAGATAGGCAGCGGGGGCCTGTGCTTGTGTGTAGTGACATCGAGAGCATCTGTCACACACTGTGCATATTTCTGTCAGCATATGTGCATTTTTGTACTGTGATACTAGACACGTGTGCACATATATGGTCATATCAACATAGAATCTAGGTCAAGGGACATGCAGGCAATCGAGGACCCTAAAGAATACAGTCTACTCCCTGCCCTGCTCCCCTTGTGGATGGAGGGAGAGAAAGACACTTTGGAATGCCTTCTCTGGAAGCCACATGGGCGTCTCTTTGCAGGTGCAGCTCCCCAGGCAGAGCGATCAGAGAGCTCCCTCTCCTTCTCTCCCTCTTTCTGGGTCAGAGCAATGGAGTTCGCAGGAGAAATGCAGTCCGTGGCCCCCGCCCACCTCGCCAAGCAGTTGCCAGGCCCCAGAAACCAAGGCACAATTGGGGAAGTGGGTTTCAGGGCTAACGGTGGTGGATGAGTGGGATGGGCCGACATGAGTCGCAGAAGAAGACCAGTCCATTAGCTGGCATTTCTTGTCCCCGATTGACAGAGGAGAGAAAGGCCTTCTGATAAGATGTCAATACTTCAGGTAAGGATGGCTGGGCACAGAAGAGAGAAGATGTAGGGGCCAGGGCCATTCCCCAAGACAGGGGCCCAGGACTGTGAGGTGGGTGTGGAGCCATGTGCTCATGTGAGTGTGCCCAGCTGGATGGTGTGAGGTAGGCGTGGGGCTGTGTGTTCATGTGGGTGTGCCCAGCTGGGTGGTGTGAGGTGGGCGTGGGACTGTGTGTTCATGTGAGTGTGCCCAGCTGGGTGGTGTGAGGTGGGTGTGGGGCTGCGTGTTTGAGTGTACCCAGCTGGGTCAGTGTTAGGTGTGTGTGGGGCTGTGTGTTCATGTGAGTGTGCCCAGCTGGGTCAGCGTGAGGTGGATGTGGGACGGTGTGTTCACGTGAGTGTGCCCAGCTGGGTGGTGAGAAGCAGGAGTGGGGCTGTGTGATCATGTGAACGTGCCAAGCTGGGTCAGTGTTAGGTGTGTGCGGGGCTGTGTATTCATGTGAGTGTGCCCAGCTGGGTGTGGGGCTGCGTGTTCATGTGAGTGTGCCCAGCTGGGTGGTGTGAGGTAGGTGTGGGGCTGTGTGTTCATGTGAGTGTGCCCAGTTGGGTGGTGTGAGGTGTGTGTGGGGCTGTGTGTTCATGTGAGTGTGCCAAGCTGGGTCAGTGTTAGGTGAGTGTGGGGCTGTGTGTTCATGTGATTGTGCCCAGTTGGGTGTTGTGAGGTGGGCGTGGGGCTGCGTGTTCATGTGAGTGTGCCCAGCTGGGTGGTGTGAGGTGGGTGTGGGGTTGTGTGTTCATGTGAGTGTGCCCAGCTGGGTCAGTGAGAGGCGAGTGTGGGTTTGGGACCGTAGTCGATGTGAACATGTGGAGCTATACACCAACGCCATCTGAGAGTTCAGGCAGGTGGTGTGGAAACGTCCAGGAACCTTTCTAGCCTCACTCACACTTGCTTGCAAGCCTGCACACGGACATAGCAGAATAGGGTCTTTGTGGATCCGTGTCCCTGCCTGCACCCATAGACCCCATGTGTGCATTTATCTCTGCAGTTCCAGGGGGTTCCCTCTCAGCCCAAGCTTAAATCCACACAGGCACACACAACATCCAGAGCCCCCAAATTCCTCTACATTTGAAAAAGACAAGGGGAAAAAAGGGCCAAGAGAGAAGAGGAGATAAAAATAGCTGAAAATAAGCTCTTCAGATCAGAAAGCTCTCTTTTTAGCGAGTCACCAGTTTTCCAGACTGAGCACACACACCCCTCACAAAACACAAACACCCAATCATGCCACCAAGTCAAGCACCATCCTCACACAGGTGCCCTGGCCTCACACACGCGCGCGCTCTTCCTCCTGAGGTAGAATTACCCTCCTCAGCTAGCACTGGGGCCTCTGGGGAGCGCTCTCACCTGGGCAGGGAGGCACAGATCCTTCCCCAGCCCTTGCAAACGCATATTCACATTCACCTGCGCCTTGCCAGCTTCTTCAGACTTCTCTGTTTCCTGGCCTCCCCCTCGTAATAGGGCCCATGCAGCAGGGGTGTCTTGCTGTCCTACTAAGAGTTATGCTGCTTTCTTCGGGAGGCTCTGACTCTGGAGCCCTCTGCACAGGCTCTCTGGAGCGGGCCTGCACTGGCTGGCTCGCTGGGGTGGGGAGCCATGCAGGGTTTACAGGTGTGTCCTGTTAATCGCATTGCTTTAGTGGCTCTGCGGGAGGATGGTGTGTACTTAGGACTGAAACAAGGCAAGTCCCATAGAGGAAGCAGGACTGAAGCAGCGTTTACGAGTATCCTGCCATCCTGGGGCCACCGTGCCCTGCCCCCCATCCTCTTGCCAACACGGGGGCTTTCTCTTCACTGCTGTCTTCAGGCTCTGCCGGACCAGCCTTCCCCTCTAGGCTCCTCTAGGGGTGAGAGCGCCGCAGGTGGACAGGCCCTCTTCCAGAACCCACTTCCTCTCTCGTTCTCTCTCTCCCCTCTCTTCCCCCTCCCTCTTCCTTCCTCCTTCTCTCCTTCCTTTCCTCTCTTTCCCTTCACATCCTTCCCTCTATCCTCTCTCCACCTTCGCCCCTGTCTGTGAAACCCAAATCTGCTTTATTCTAGCATTTAAGTAACTCAGGCTGGAAAGGTCCTTAGATGCCCCTCCTGCCTGTTCCCAGGAGCATGGTCCCCTGGCTGTGGCTTCTTTCCTCTGAATCTCTGGGGTCCAGACCCCTGGGAGTTAGCTGGGCAACGTGTCCCGGTGCCTTTTCAGAAAATGGGGAAGTGGCAGCACGCAGTGGTGAATGGGACAGCTAGAGAGGATTTACCTAAAACTTCAAAGCAAGTCTGAGGCAGTGGCTCCTGGGCTGTGGGCCTAGGAAAGTGTCACACGTCCAGGATTATAGTGAGATCTCTAGAAGGTGGGTGCTCAGGCCACCACGCCTCTCCACTTGGGGCGCCCTCCTGTGGGGTAGCTCTGGGACGTGGCTTCCTCTTCCTCCTTCCTTTTGTGCCCTGTGTGGGCTGGGACATCCGCCTCGGCCTTGGTTGTGGTGTGGGCTCTGCTCTTGGCTGCCCGAGGTAGAATCCTGCCCACTTTCTGTTCTGTGAGTTTGGTGAGTCTCTGGGCCGTTGTTTCTTCAACTGTCAAAGGGGATAACAACAACAAGCCTGCATCATAAGGGTCCTTTGACGCCTGTGGTCTTAAAACAGGAAAACAGACAGCTGCTGAGGACTTCACAAACACCAAGTATTAGGACATGACCCAGGCCAGCTTGCCTGGCTTTTCTAGGCCTCACTTTCCCTCAGAAGATCAGGGATGAGAAACCCTATTCCTTCCCCGGGGGAGTCTCTGGAGCGACAGAGAAGACCAGGGTGGAGACGCAGGCCCCCGAGGCTGTACCCTCCTGCTCCCGTCTCCCCTGGTCTGTGCCCCTTCTGGGGGCACTTGTGTCTTGCCCCATCACTGTCCCCTCCTGCCTGTGAGTCCTCTTCATGGCTCTGGCCCAGCCCTGAGCTGGACCTGGGCAGATAGGAGGCTATGTTTAGTCCCAGACAGAAGCAGCAGCTGTGCAACCACCTCTCAGAGCTAGTCCCTCCATAGGAGGGTGGAGGCGACCCTCCTATGAGGGCGAGGGCGCGCCTGAGGAAGGACAGGGAAGCTGGCCCCGCAGGGCCCGAGAACCCCAGCTCCCTCTCCTCCCTCCTCAGAGGGCAAGCCTGCCCAGGATGAGCTTCTCTCCTGCTTCCCTCTCCCACCCCAACTTCTTCATCCCTGTGGGTTTAGCAGCTGAGCCGTAGAGGCTGCAAAGTGGTTCAGGAAGGAGGATCAGACAGCAGACCGAGAGGCCAAGGAGTACAGCTGGGGCCCCGAGGCCGGGGTCCACCCTGCTCCTGTCAGACTTAGACTTCTTCTCTTTTTACAACGGAAACCTCAGCCCCACAACATCTGTCTGGGTCTGAGACAAGCTGAGGGATCAGCCCCGCCTTCAGGAGCGCTCCCTTTCTGTCTGAAGGAGCAAGCTTCCCCACACTTGGGCCGTTGTGGAAGGCGACATAGAATGCACCAGGAGATCTGGCTTGGGTTTGGGTGGGCTGCCTGCTCTCCCCAGGCCATCATCTGTTGTCTCTAACAGCAGACAAAGGTCCTGAGACCCAGCATTCTTGCAATTCTTGCATCAGAGTTTCTTTCTCATTGTAATTCCTGCCCGTTGTTGGAGACCAGGTGGACATGGGAAGAGAAATACTTCACAGATTAACAAGTTAATCACATTTTTATTTGCTCCAGGCCCTGACCCAGGCTCTAAGGCTACCTTAGGTAGGTGAACAAATAGACAAGAACCTTTCCCGTGAGGATCTTGTTCTAGAGCTTAGAGGCTCTTTCATACTGCACAATGTGTCCTCATCAATCCGGGAACGACAGTCAAGCCTGCTATGTCTGTGGCTGCTGCTGAGGCGCCTAGCAGCTGCTTTCTAAGATCTGATTTCTCCGGAGCCTGGATTCCTGATGGCTTTAAGGCAGTGATTCTCAACCTTTTCCACGTCATGCATCTCTTTGTAAATCAATTAAAGCTTGAACTTCTCTCTAGAAAAATGGCCAGAGCGCACACACTCAGAGATCTGCCTACAGTTTGAGGGGCTGCTGCGCCCAGGGAGCTGGCGCGTGGCCTGTGGGTTCAGAGCCGCTGTTCTCAGGGTGGGGCGGCAGCCAGGCTGCCCTGACAGGCCATCAGTGTGCTTCCCAGCAGGAGATCCTCAGTGCCATTTAATCACAGCGTCCTGTACTAGCTGTGTGGCCATGGGAAGCTGGCCGCTTGGCCCAGACTGTCTAGCCTTCTGAAAATTTCTAAGTCCATTCTACCAAACTGTGGAAAAACCCATCTGCAAAAATCCTAACAAGTGATAATCTTGGTGCGGCCACAGTGAGCTCTGTGACCTTGGCCAAATCCCTTCCTTTCTTTGGTGTCCCAGCTTTCTCATTTGTGAAATGAGGAGGGGCAGGGACACTGAAGTAGAGCGGAGGTTCCTTCCAGCTCTGCTGTGCCCAGAATGGCGCCATACGGGTGTGTCTCCTGTAGAGGGGGAGGGGGAGAGCAGCCTCCAGGTGCTGCGCCCAGTGGTGCTGGGGCCGGAGCCCTGGGGAGGAAAACACCCAGCTGCCGCTTGGAGCGCTCCTGGCCAGCCCAGACCTCAGGCCCTCCTCCGTCTGCATTACTCCACTCCCCCTGGGCCGATGGCTGGGGCTGGGGTTGCTCTGGGATTGGGATTTAGCACCCCTTTTTGTGACTGAAGCCGAGGCTGCCTGCTCAGCAGAGTTTACAGCCTTACCAATCACAGTTCCCTTGGGGAGGGCTCAGCGCAGCCCACACACCCAGAGGTGGAGGGGAAGTGGGCTTCTTTGTGCTGACCCACCCTAGGGCAGCTGGCCCTGAGTGTGGGCGTGTGAGGGCTCTCTGTTCCTGGGGACTCACGGCACACATCTGGGAAGTGGTGCCCCACATGGAGGAGGCCTCCCCTGCCCATTCTCTGCTTGGGGCCCCTGCTCGCAGGGTAGAGGAGCTGCAGCTGCTGTGGGCTGTGGCTGTTTGGGGTGGGATGAGGGTGGAAGTGGGTTGTTCCTAATGTGACCCTTGGCCTTTAAGCTTCTGGCCTGGCAACAGCTTCATCACCAATCAGGGGGCTCAGGGTCTGGCTTTGGGACTGGACACTTCGGGTGCCCAGGGAGAAGATCTGCCAACTCTAAATCCTCCTTTGGAATCCGTGCAACTTTCTCCTTCTGCTTTCCCAGGACCTCCTCAGGACCTCCAGGCCGGAATTGAAATGTTCTTAGCTATAATTGATCTGCTCAGGTCCTCTGTGGAATTGGGAGGGGAGGCCAGAGGCACCGCCAGACAGCACAGGCCTCTCGGGGCTGCCTGTTCATCTCTTTGTCCCAGGGAGGAACACCCTCTAAGAATGCCTGGGAAAGGAGAACCGAGGAGCGCTGACCTGCCGTCTCAGCGGAGCTCCAGGAGCCCTTCTCCAGTTGGTGCTAGTTTTCTTTACATACTTCCTCACCCTTGCCTATACACCTTGTACACCCAGTACACCAGGCTCATGCTCACGGATACATCTATGAACCTGTCTATACAATTTCTTTTGTGCTATCAGACGCTGCCCACACCTCCACATAAAGACATGCTTCTCTTCCTCTTCCCTTCTTCCTGTCCCTTGCTCGCTGTCAGCACCCATGCTAATGTGCATGACCCTGAAAGTTACCCTCAGCATATGCCTTTTCCAAACTCATCTTATAAAACAGCAACATGTGCACATACCTAGAGACCAGGCTGCACATCCCATATGCATACGTGCCAGGTGACAATCTACTCCATCACAGAATCGCCCAGAGCTCCTTTCTTTACTCCTTCCTCAAGCACCATCCTCTGGTGGAAACTTCTTCCCCTGGCCCAGGCTCCTCCTTTGGAGTTGAGGATGCAAAGCAGTGTCATGTAGGATTGCAGCACCAGGAGTCAGGGAGCCTGGGCTCTCAGCTCAGGCGGGTTCATAAGGAGTTATTTTGCTCATTTGTCTTTGCATAACCTCATATGCCTTGTGACGCCTTCAATAAATAGATACTCAAATCTGGCCTCAGTTTCCTCATCTGTAAAATGGATTAAAATATCATCTGCTTTATCTCCATCATGGCGATGTTATGGGAGCCAAACCTGATATATAAGAAAGCAGCCTGAAAAGTGTAATATGCATGATCATGCAGCTGCTTAGGGCAATTTGTTTCACGGGTGAAGTCTAAGAGCTGGCAAAGGTAGGGCAGCATCTTCCCAGTGTGAGCTTGCCTGGTTCTGGTGTTGCCAAGGGCCCCTGCTTACGGGCACAATGAATTAAAGTAGAAATTTCACACCCAGTGTCTTCTTTCTTCCTGCTAATTTCACCTCCCCCCTCTTCTGTCTTTCCCAGACACATTGTGGCTACAGATCCCAGGGATTAGTAAGGCCAAAAGGGCCCTGGCATTGAGTCAAGCATCTGCCCTGGGCACGTGGACACACGGGGGCCTGGCTCCCAGGCTCCTGAGGGCTTGCACCTGGGAGCACTGCTCTCTGCTCCTGGGCCTTGGGGCTGTGCCAAACAGCCGAGTCCAGAACAAGAGGCCCTGTGGTGTGGTGAGTTTCACAGACCAGGCTGGGGCTGGTTCTTGCATCTGTGCTACCCTTGCTAGGTATGTGGCTGCCCGAGGCAACCTCCAATAGCACCTTGATATCTAAGATGGGCAGGCTGGATTTTTGCCTAGTGCAGAGTCCTCAATGCTTCAGGCCACAGTGGCTGTTACAGGCTAGGGTAGCCCTGGAAAAGGGAAGGCAGGATGCTGGGGCCAATGTCAGCTTTGGAAAGAGGCCAATAGCTGGCATCAAGCTGGCTTACATCCAGCATGTGAGAGGTGAAAGGACCATTCTGCAGGAGGGCTGTCTGGCTTTGGGGCTTAGAACAGTGTCAGATTTGACTCAGAGCCTTTATTTTTTTAGCTCAGCACTAACAAACCCAGGGTTGTGCTTGTCTCAGTCACTCCTCCTAGAGCTGTATTCAGAGAAGAAATTCCAGAGGGACACCTGGTACTTTGTAGAGCAGAGGAGCATTTCTGGACATGCTAGGGGGAGATGGAGCTGAGGCTGGGGTACCAGGAAACTGGGCTCCTACCAGCCAGCTAAGAGGCCTTGGAAGCTCAGGGCTCCCCTACATGAACATGGGAACAGATGTGGTGGACGAGGGCCCCCACGGAAGCCTATCCCCTGTCCAGGCCCTGCTTTCTGTTAGGGTGACTCTGCACGACCCTCCCCCCTCCTCCAGCTCTGCGGCAGGCTGGCTGGCCAGGAAGCCACCGCCAGGAGGGAGCTGGGCAGACAGGGCCCAGAAGCAGGGCCGGCCTGGGGGTGGAGCCTGCACACTCTGCAAAGCTCCAGCCTGGCTCCACCCCTTCCCTGCCAGGAGCTGAAAAGGATGACGTCACCCAGACTGAGGCCCTGGGCCGGGATGGGCTCATTAGCCGGGAAGCCGGCACCTGCAGGGCTCGAGGATTTCCCGTGGTTGCCCCGTGATGGATCTTCGCTCGTCTCCTGAGGCCTGGTCAGCTCTAGGGGTCTCTGCTTTGGGGTCTTGGAGATGGCGCCTGGCTATTCAGACTTGAAGTCTGGGACACTGGTTCATCACCAGAGACTAACGCCGCCGTGAGCATCCTCCCCAAGCACGCAGCCCCTCCCCGTCCTGTGTCCGCGCCACCCCGCCCCCCCTCCGCCCAATGCTCCTTTTCCGTGCTAGCGCTGGCGGCAGCTCCATTTTTGTGAGGCTCCATGGAGAAAGATTAGATCCCTAATCTGACCAGGCAACAGTGAGCCCACAGCAAACCAGTGTCCCCCTTCCCTTGGGTCCATGGCCCCTCCCCCACCCAAAACCCTGCTGGGTGCTTTGTGTTGCCGGCTTGCAGAGCATATGCTTGGCTGCTTGCTTTGTGTCTGCTGTTTATCCCTCTCTTCCTACTTAACTTCTGTTTCTGCTTGGCCCATCTGGCTCCTGTGGTACCTGCTTTTCACTCCCGTTGCGCTTCCCCTCCAATGCGGCCTGCCCCCTATTTACCACTTCCCTCCCAGGGCTTGGCTCTTGTCCACTCTGGGGCTGCTGGCAGGAGCTCTTGACCTGGAGTGTAGGAGCAGTGAGGGACTCCTCCAGCCTATGGGACTGCCCAGAGGCACAGCTGGGGACCCTGACCTCGGGGTCACTGCGGTGTTCTGGAGACGCCCTTAGGGTGGGAAGTTGAGGCGGGTGGTGGAGGGCAGGTTGGGAGTGGCCTTTGGACTGGGGAGAGGGCTAGGTTCTGGTAGAAACCCTCCCCCGCCATCTCCCCAGGTCCTTCTGAGCTTCCTTCCTACCAGAGGTGATTCTTGGGGTCGGGTGGGGGTCACCCAAATCAGAGTCTTGTAGATACTGCTCTCTGTTCACGGCAGTGATGGGAAAGTGACCTGTGAGTAGCAGCAGGAGAGGATGAGGCCAGGGAAGGCCTGCAGTTCTGACCCAGAACCCCAGGGCACACAAGCTCCTTCCTGCTGAGAAGGGGCTGTGGCAGTCTGATGGCTTGGGCAAAAGAGAAAATGGTGGCAGCCTGAAGCTGCAGGATGCTCACAGTGGGCTCAGAGGGGAGACAGAAAGGCCCTCTCCTTCACTAGCAGTGCTCTGCTGGGGGTCAGTCTCACCCCACACATCACACTAGGCTCCACACTGCCTGAGTCATTGCTCTGCCTCCTCCGCCCCCTCACCAGATTGCACACTTGTGCATACTTGCACACCCAGGTCATGGCTCACACTCACCCCTCCAATGTAGCCTGCTTCGTTCCTGGTGTGATGTGGCAGCTCATGGCTTCCTTGGGACTTGTGAGGGGGTGGTGGAGCCTGGAAGAGAATGGAGGAGAAGAAATGGGGCCCGACAGGGGCAGGGCTGTCATTCATCTGCCTCTCTGGACCTGGGTTGCTCCTCCAGGCTAAGGCTGGCTGCCGAGGAGGCAGAGCTGGGCCTGGAGTCAACAAGGATCCACGTGCTTGGGGACCATCGGCTGCTGCTCCCTGTAAGCATCTGCTTCCCACGGAAACCTACAGGGCTTGGCTGCCAGGCCTCACTGCGTGCCCACTCCTCTGTGGCTCTGTTCTCTGTCTCGGTTGTTCCATCTGCCCGCTCCACCAGCTCCTGGCACAGCTCTCTTGGCCTCGTTATTTCTCTCCCAGAACCTTCTTCCTGCTCCTCATTTCTTCCTGTCCTTTCTCCCTGTCTTTATCCAGCCACATTCATGCCACTGTCCCTGAGGTCTTCCTCTTTTGTCTTTATCCATCATTTTTCCTCTTGCTTTTCTGCTGTTTTTCTCCATATTCATATTCTCTGTCTCATACATATTCAGTGGCTCCTTGAAAATCCACCTAGATTATTCAATGTGCTAGAAGCCTAGATCTGCTTCAGGAATAAAACTTCTTAGACTCTAACGCTAGGTCTCTGTCTCAGACACTAGTCTGGACTAATTGCCTAGAACATGTTGGTAGACCCACCTACCCTTCCACCCAAGTATGCTCACTCTTTGCAATGCCTCCTCTTCTGATCTGGGACAAGGCAGCTGTGAGGTGTGCAGAAGCCAGACAGATAAGCCACAGCACCTCGGTCAAGTGACACGGCAGGGGGTGCGGAGAGTCTGGGGCAAGAGTCTCCCTTTAAAGGGATTTGAGGAGTTCAGTCCTGGAAAGAAACTTAGGACCCAACGTGTCCGATCCTTGTGCTTGTACAATCCTTTTACGTCCGCTCTGTTATCCCCTTATACCTCTCATGGGAGGTTCATAAATAAGGAAACTACTGTCTTCGGACTAGAAGTTACTCCGCTGGCGCTCCCCAGCACCTGAGGAACAGAGCTGGAGTCAGATTCTCCGCTTTGGGATTTGCAGCCCTTGCCTGTGGCAGGTGAATGAACAGAAGGAACTGGAAAATGGCAGTTACAGGACAAGGAGGTAAGAAGCCCAGCTCAGCCCCACAGGGGAGCAGAGATGGTAGAGGGAGAAAGCGGGAGGGGCAGGTGGCCAAGTGTGCGGATGGTAGTTGTCTGTCATCTCCTGGTGCCAGTGGTAGGCACTGGGGACAGGGCACGGCGTCCTCTTGTCCTCACGTGTTAGCGAGTCACTCCCCAGCCCTGCTCCCTGTCTGTCTCCTCTCTCTGCCTATTTATCATCCAGCCTCAGGATTCCTTCTCTGCTTTGTTCCTCCTTCTCTATCCCACCTTCAGGTCACCTGCCTGTCTTTCCCCTACTGGCCCTTTCCTCTTCCACCTTTCCCCTTCCTTTACCTTTCTTTGCTTCCTGACTACACACCTGAGCCTGACTCCCCTGCAGCCGTCTCACTGACTGAGAAGCCAAGTGGCCGGGAAGTGGCTTGGGAGCAGGGTCCATGTAGCAATAGGCTGGATCTGGTCTCTACATTCTTCAGCTCCTGATTCCAGTCCAAAGCCCCAGGGTGCTCCCTGTTCAGCTTCCTCCTTTATGAACACCATGGGGCCCATCAGCTTGGCCCCACCCAATGTTCACCTGGGACAGGTTTGCTCCCCAGTAGTATAGACTCACGCTGAGGCCCCATTTTGGGACCCTCCAGCAGCTGTGGTGTGACAGGCCTCCTCTTCTCCAGGGAAAGCTCCTGACACCCTGCCTCCCACCCCCACATGCCTACCTCCATCAGCAGGAGAGGCGAGTCAGCCCTGAGACTCCCACCTTCCGTCTCCTTGGCTTGGCTTGGCTTGGCTTTTCTTTCACATCCGGGTACCTTCTTGTTTTTACATGGGACTCCTTGCCCAATGTCCTAATTTTCCCTTAATTTTTTTTTTTTTTAAAGATTAGCCCTTAGCTAACATCTGCTGCCAATCCTCCTCTTTATGCTGAGGAGGACTGGCCCTGAGCTAACATCCATGCCCATCCTCCTCCATTTTATATGTGGGATGCCTGCCACAGCATGGCCCAATGAGTAGTGTGTAGGTCCACACCCGGGATCTGAATCTGTGAACCCCAGGCCGCCAAAGCAGAGTGCGTGAACTTAACCACTATGCCGCTGGGCAAGCCCTTCCCCTTAATTTTTAAAAAACTTTCTTCCAGAAAAACCCAAACTGGCAAACCCTTCAAATCCCATTCTTTTTCACACTCAGCGATCCGTCAGCCTGGGCCCAGGTGGGGTGGGGCAGCAGCACTGCCTGGCCCTTTCCTCTGCTCCCTCCTTTGCTGAGCCCCTGTGTCTCCTATCTCGGGCTCTGGGCTCTCAGGCAGTACAAGAAGATGGGATGAAGGCTTGCGACTGGAGTCTCCATGCTGCCTGCCCCTGGCGACGCAGGTGCTGTGGCGTCTTAGGAGGGCAGTGAACACAGGGAGAAGCGGCTTCTCCTCTGATTTCGTGTAGATGGCCACAGGGGAGCATCTAGTGCTGAAGAGCTCAGGGGAAGTTCCAGCTCAGCTTAGCTGGGTCCAGCTGTGAGGTCTGAGGCCACTCACTAAGCCTCTCTGAGCCTCAGGTTCTTATCTGTAAAGAAGGAGCAATAATAATCCTATCTCACAGCATTGTTGAGAAGATTGAATGAGAAAATACAAGTGTGAGCACTTTGTAAATTATAAAGAGCTCTAGAGAAGCTATTATTCATGGAGCAGATGTGGAGTGTTAAGGCGTCAGGACTAAAGAAAGGGAGGGAGGGGCAGCAAGCCGCAGTTGCCCTTTCAGAGGCTGAGTGAGGGAATTCTGAGAAAGCCCTGGGGATCACAGACATCTGGAGCCCCAGAACCTCAGGAGAGGAAGAGGGTAGACCCCCACCGCCTCCACAACCTCTGTGTGCAGCCTTGTTATTTGCTTAGACAGACATGACTAGCCTGTCACAGCCTTTACACCTTTGCCTGGGGGTTGCAAAGATGCGGGAACTAGGTCAACACATCGAGGTATGAAGGTGAGGCCCTGGCAGCAGAGGAGATGGACGTCAGAGCAGCTTGATTTCCTCCATGGATGAGGAGGCAGAAGGCAGAATCATGGCTCGAGGACAGACACCAAAAACATGATGTCACTATAAAATGGACAACTAAAGTGGGTAAAGGAAGCATTAAAGGCACTGAGAAATCCTTTGTCTTCCCCACCACATGAGGACAGCAGGCTGCCTTTAATGTGGCTGTCTGTGTTCTATCCTTGTGGACTTGTAAGTTCCTCCTGGACAAGGCCTTGTCATTTTGGATTACATTTCTGTGCTGTGCCTTGCAGACACATCCACTTAATACATATGACTTGACTGATTGGAAAAGAGCAGGAACAAAGAGAGGGAAATGAGAGGTGAGCTGTGTTCATGTACTCCATTGTGTAGAAGACCTGAGCATCCCAGCTTTTGTACTGATGGGGGAACGGTGTAAATTTGACTTCCTGCCTGGAAAGAAATCACACCACCAACAAACTGACTGCCTTGCACTCTTTATGTTTAGGCAGGGTCTGGATAGGAAAGGAACTTATGACTGGGGGGGAGGGTAGAAGATATTGTTGGGTGGCTCTTCACATGACTACAAACTATCTCCTAAGAAATGAATCCAAATAGGACATGACACCCAAAACAGGCTGAGCTTGAGGTCTACTTCTGGCATGGAGCAGGAGGCCAGATGAAGGCCGAGAGAGTCCATCCTAGAGATGAGCGGTAAACTGAGGGTGCTTGCTTTCCTGCTCCCATGTCCCTACAGATGCGAGAGCTTCCCGAGGAAGCGGAGATGAGGGAGCAGCGTTTGGAGAGGGCACAGTCTGCAGCGGGCCAGCTCGAGGACTGAGGCCCTGTCTCTGAGCTTCCCTGATGACCCCTCCTTTGCACTCAGTCTTGGTGAGGACCCCAGTCTTCTGCTCTGCTTGTAGTTGGGGGAAGAGATGGGGTGAGAGCCTTGCTCTGGCTTCTGGCTTGTCGGCTGTGACTCTTAGTCTCCTGCTTGGACTGAGCCAGGAGGGTAAGAAGAACGGGAAAAGAGAAATCAAAATAGCTGGAGGATGAAAGATGCCCAGCTGCTTTGTGGGTGAGGGAGCCTTTAGGAAGAAGAAGCCTTCTTGGACTCCCAGCTAAGAGGTTGAATTGGGGATTCCTGGCTTCAACAGGCCATGAGGAGCCGTCAGTATCTGTGGGAGGTCAGAGAATAGAAGAGAAACCAGACAGATTTGCGAGCCAGTTAAATTTGGGCTGAAGTCTGTTTGCTCTGGGTCAAATTACCTGACCTCTGTGAGCTCAGATTCTCACTTACAGAGCTCACTCCATATGGGATGATAAGTGTCAACCTTGTAGAGTTATTGTGAATATTAAACAAATAAATGTACTAGAATTCTTAGAACATAGTAGGTGCTTCCAAATCTTAGTTCTTTTCCTTTCCATAATCCTAGCTTGGCACACCCACCTCTCTTTGCGTTTGAAGCTTCTGAGAACAAAGAAGACCAGGCAATCTCTTCAAGATGCCCCCCTGACTGTTTTGGCAGTGGAGTGGCCAGTGATTCCTGCTGGGGGTCCTCTTCCTATGGGAGCTTCCTGGGAGTCACCACCGGAAAACTAGAGCCCTGGGTCACAGATGAGATCCCTCTGCTTTCACACACATGTTTTAAAAACAACGATGCAAAGTGATCATCACAATAGATCCTGGGGTTCAGAGGAAATTGAACTGCTGCTCTAAAACCTCGTGCTACAGGATGCCTGGTGGTGGGGAGCACTTTTGGCCATAAGAACCCTTAAGCCGAAAGCCCCAGACTGAGGCACGTGTTGTTTTGAGAGGTGAACAGGTCACCCCTGCATGGTCTTAGGTCCCTCTGCTACCTGCTGGCACATCAATCAGAGATGAGATTTGCAGGCAGAGAGGTGCAAGTTCAAGTTTCAGCTTCACTACTTGATTTGGGCAAGTGGTTTGACCTCTCTAAGCCTCAATTTCCTAATCTGTAAAAAGAGGACAATACTTCACTCAGAAGGCTGCTTCAAAGATTCACTTGAGATAGGCACACCATTTAATCACCACCCAATAAATGGTAACAAGGATGGTGCCTTTAGATGATGATAATGTTAAATAGTACCTACAACTACACCAGTGAATTGGTGGTCTTGACACTGTGGCAAGACTTTAACCAGCTTCATTAACCTCTGACCTCATCTGTCCCTTAGCCTCATTTAAATTAGACCCAGTGACCAGCAATTCTCAATCTCCATCTCCATCAGTCTCCATCAGCCTGAGCTTCCACAGTCACAGCATCTTCTGAATGGTTCTACTGGAAGTGACCAGATCCCACCTGGCTGCTGGCTCATCTGAAACACAGCCAGTAGGTCTCCTTCCTAGGATGATTTCTTGGGCAAGGAGTTGAGAGCAGGAGGAGGGGCTGAGGTCCCTGGAAGAAGGATGGGCCACTCTGTTTTGGGGCTGCTTCCTGAGAAGTTGGGCCCTCTGCTTGGGAGTTGGCTCAGACCTACGCCTGGCCTCTCAGCCTCCCAGGGAGCCTGCTCCATGCAGGACATGTGACCAGCCCTTTGCACTTTGTGCCCCTTGCCCACTCACAGCCAACCCTTTCACACCTCAATTAGCCACTTAGGGAAAAGAAAGAGCGAGAGCAAGCTGGGGAAATCTGTCCAGACCATGATGAATACTTTCCCAAGCCTGCTGTTGCCATGGCAGCCAGCTGGGAACACCGTTTCTAGGGCCTGAGGCGCTCAGACATGCATGGGGGGGCTGCCCTGCTGGGCTGCTGCCCACTTGCCTTCCCCCACCCTGGCCTCCTGGCTCCCTTAGCAACAGCCATCACTATTGCCATCGCAACCACCACTGCAGCTCTGCACTGGCCGTGAGCAGTGTCCACGGAGCTCCAGGGGGAAGGTAGGGAGTGTGTGTGTGTGTCAGAGCCAAGGTATGAAGTTGGAAAGGAAAATGCTTGACAAGCTTAGCCATGATAATTGTAAGGATGCTTCTGTTATTATACTTTAGAAAAGAGGCTCATAAACTTGGGGTCAAATGGATCCCTTGGTGATCTGAGGGTCACCTCTGAACTTCTAAGAACAAGTTTGTGTGTCTGGGTGTGTGTGAATTTTTCTGGAGAAAAGGTTTATAGTTTTACCAGATTCTCAAAGATTACTAAGTCCCCAGTAGGTAAGAACCTTAGTTACAGAGCCTTTCGCTTTTCAGAATCAGAATTATCTTAGGGACTGGTTGGTCGGGCAGGTTTGAGAGTTAGAAAACGAGTGAGTGCAGCACAAGGAGGCACACAGGGCACACGACCCAGGCCCCGGCCCCAGAGTCCCCCAGATCTGCCGTCTGCCGCACTGTGGACTGCTAATCTCTGCTGTTTACAGTGTGGCCGGCCCTGAGCTTGCCACTTTGCAGCCACTGTGCATCTCATCCCGTTTGACCCTCACACAACGCCAGGAGGAGGGTCCTCCTGCCACCACCACTGAGAAGATGAGAATGTTGGGACAACAAAAAGACTTCAGGGGTTGGCCCAGTTGTACAGGTAGAAGGCGCGGCTGAGTGGAGGGGTTAAGGGCAGGCCTTGGACCAGAGGGCCCAAGTCTGGCCCCAGTTGCACCCCTTATTGTGGCCAGGCCTCTATCACAGCTGCAAATTGAAGATGCTGATAATCCCAACCCCAAAGGGCAGTTTTGGGAGTTAAAGAGTTGACACTGTATTGAAAAGTGCTTAGAACAGTATCTATTACCAAATAAAACGGAGTTAAACAGAGCGGGATTCACCCACAGGTCTGCCTGATCCTAAAGCTCATGTTCCACACGGAGGAGGTTTTCAAAGGTGTTTCCCAATCCCAATGCTGGGGCTGGATGTGGTGGAGCAGAAGCAGACGAGCCCTGAACTTGGTGCTGCCCCTCACCGAGTGTGGGTGAGTTGTACAGGCTTTTGAAGCCTCAGTTTTGCCATCTCTAAAGAACAGGGGTAATGAAGCCACCATATTTTCTCAGGGGTAGTGTGTGTAATAGGCACTGTTGACACATGAAGATGGAAGGAAACAGAAGCTGGGAATGTCCCTTTAGATGGAGCCGGGTTGCGGAAATGCTCTCCTGACCCAAGCTGAGTGCTCGCCTGCGCCCCAGGCTTTGTGTGCCACCCTGGCCAGGGCTCAGGCAGGGGGCCCGGTGTGATCCCCTGGAGGCAGGCAGGTGGCTTGGTGCCTTTGGGTACCCATGTGCCTGGGTCAGCAGCCAATAGGAGGGTGCTTAGGAATTCCACAGAGGGAGCAGGGAGGCAGCAGGACCCAGCTGCCCCAGGCTTTGCTGGCAGGTGGAAGGGAGGCAGGTGTTGGTGTCAGGCCAGAGAGGAAGTGAGGGGGAGGGTGCGGGGTGAGCCAGGGAACGCCTCCGGGGCCAGGCCAGGCTGCATGGCATCCTTCTCTGTGAGGGGGTAATTAGTGGAAATGAGAAAAAGATTTCTTAGTCACTGGAGAAACACAACAAGGTATTATCCAATCACCTAATGGCGGGTTCCTAGCCATCCCTAGGCTCCTGAGGGGAGCAATTTCATGTCCTCTTTTCTTTTTGCCCCCAGAAGACTCATGGTACTGAGAGCAGATGGTGAGGGGGAAGAGGGCAGGTCCTTATTCTTGAGTCACTTGGTGCTGGATACCTTTCTGGGGTGCTGGGAAGTGTAGCACGCAGCCAGCATCTTGGACAAATAGGCAGCTGACGGCAAGGAGGCGAGGGTCAGACAAAGGAGGTGATGCTGTGAATGACTCGCGGCCCAGTCAGAAGCCATAATTGGCGGTGATTAATCTGTGGAGGAGAAGCCGCTGGGAGTCATCACTGACTCAGGGCTGAGGCTGGCTCATTGCTGCTCTGCTCTCCCTCCTCACCTTCCCCACTCGCAGCCTGGAGCGGGGAGGCTGTTTGAAAAGGTGAGTGATTCAGAGGCAGTTAAAAAAGCAGCGTTTCTTAAACTGAGGAGCTTCTGAGACTCTGAATGAAATCTTTTCTTTTGCTTTTATCTTTTACTTTTACTTTTCTAATGGCAATGTGAGGAGGTTGGAGGGTCTTCCCTGAGAACTAAGGCCAGGACCCCCAGATGGACACTCCTAGGGCCCTGCCCAGGCAAAGCCATGATGTGCCCATACCAGAAAAAGCGGGGGACTTGGGGAACTTCTCTGCTGCGAGATGCTAAGCCAAGACTGTATAGTTAAAGAGACCTGGATTTGAGTCCCAGTATGTCCTCACTAGCTCTGCCAGGTAGCTCAGCCTCTCCCAGTCTCAGGTTCCTCAACTCTAGACAGAGGGCAGGCATTCTGCTCATGGAGTATTGTGGGAACCAAATGAGATGGGATAAGTGAAGCGTTCAGCAGAGTGGGGACCAGACCCGGGATGAAAGCAGCGAATTCTCTTTCCCAGGCAGAGGCAACACTACGCATGTGCCTTCTAAGAAGAAGCATTAACTTTTCTTCCATTTCTGTCTTCTTTTTTCCAAAGAGAAATAAGAAAACCTGACAGGCGGAACCAGGCTTTGATCATGCATTGTTGTCACAACGGAATGGATGCGTGACACGAAGATGCCAAAAAAATAAAGTAAATATTTAATAAAAGAGGCCATTTTAGTATTGGCAAACACCTTTGGGGTAGGTATCAGAGGGCACATAACTTGAAAATGCCCAGCTGTCTTTTGACGAGACCTACTGGTGCTGCTTTCTGGTTTGGGTTCAGGTTCTTGGAAATTAGAAGTCAGGAGACCGTGAGCATCCAGAAGAGCAAAGCGTAGAATCCTCAAGGTGCTTTAGTCCGTCTGCTTTCATGTTGTCACTCAGGGGCGCTGAGCAAATTGTCTCGTGGGGTTGGGACTAGATCCTGGATGGATTCATCAAAGGCTCCATGTCAAGCTGGGCAACCCCAAACGTATGCCTTAAAAGAAGGTCTAATTCTCTTTCAACATTTCTTTATCCCAAAGAGGAAGAAAATTTGACTAGGAAGAAGCACGAGGATTAGATTTTGCATGGTGGCCAGAATGCAAAGACGGGGCGATTGACATGAGATGCAAATGCACAAAATTAGGATGTCATTTCTTTAACCTCATGGACACGTAAGTCAGAGACCATAACATTCCCAGATGGAGCTCCACAGCTCCGCAAGTGCCCCAGAGCTCTTGTGATCCACAGCTGAGGGTGGCCCACCCAAGGGAGTTCAGATTCTGCCAGAGCTCACCCTGCGATGCTCTTTCACCATTCCATGTTTCGTTTGTTCCCTCCTGCCCTAATACGGCCCCTGACTGCCTGACTCTTCTGGGGACTTCTGCCATGAGCTGGCCTGTTCAGCAGGTGCAAACAATTTATGCAGAGTTTTCCTCCCACTCCCCGGTTAATTATGAAATCAAGAAGAACAAAGGTCAGTTTTTCAGGACTATCCCTTGGCAGGTCTGGGCTTCAGGCCCATCTGCATTCTGGATGCAGACTGCATCCAGAGCATTCTGGTAGCCACAGAGCTCTGGAAATCAGGATGATTTAACCATCAGATTGGGTACCCAAGTAACCAAGATCTTTACCCCTAGAGACCATTAGAACTAAAATCCCAATTTTTACCCCTAACTGGAGGCATGCCCCTCCCTGGTGGGACAGGCCTGCTGGCCTATGATGCATCCTTCTCCACTCCCAGGAGTCCAGTTCTTCTCTCAAAGTCCCGCTCCTCACACACTTCAGCCTCTGCCAGCCACTGGACAATCAGCAGCACCCTCCTGTGAAGCCGCCTCCCCACTTATCATTCATGGACTGCAGCCTCTCGCCATTTACCACATGGCCAACAACAATCAGCATATAGATTGAGCTGTGAATATAAGAAGAGCAAACTAAAAACGGAGAAGAGAATGTTATAGAGCCGAGTTGGCCTCTTCTGGGGAGAAGAGAGCTTCTCAGAGGAGGGTTGATCAGTTGCCTCTGCCACTGGGCAAAGGGGAAGGGGAAGAGTTTTAACAGGAGGTTTGATCACTACGCTTGCTCTGCAGACATATAGGCTCAGAGACGGAGGAGAGGGGAAGGCCTAAGCTGGGCCCAGGCTGCTGGCCTTATTCTCTGTTTCCTTCCTCCCTCCCTCTGTCGGTCAGCAAGCCGGCATTCAGAATGTATCTCCTTGCTGAGAGGATTCCTACGGTCTATCTTTATTTGCAATTTTGGGTCTTGTTCTTCCTCAGATCCGCCAGCTCTGAATTTCTGCTACAAAATATGTCTTTGCTGAGTCTCGTCACTATAAGGCATTTAAGATGCAGTGCTAGTCCCCCTTGTGTGGGGCACAGGGTCACATTCGAGGTGGGGAGCTTGAGGGGCATAGATTTAGAATATATATTTGGGATTCCAGACTAGGGAACTTACGCCTCATGAGATGCAATGGTTTGCCAAAGATCTTGCTCGTTGGTGGAAGAGCAAGAATAGAACTCAGGTCATCCAACTCCTGGCCCCTCCTTTTGCCGACAGAGCCTTCTCTAGGCAGGGAGCTCTGTGGACTATATGGCTGCACAGCTCTGGTAGCTGAGCAGCAGCCCTGCCAAGCTTTGTTGCCTCAAACCCTTTTCAGACATCCTGTGCCTGGCACCAAGGGTCCTGTGCATTCTGAGGTCTGCCCTGGCCTCACATTGTCTGGGGGAAACATGAGTTAGAGTGACGCTTTGGGCATTAAGCCTAGATAAGCATCCCAGACTGTGCAAAGTCCGAGCTCTGAATGAAGTCACAAATATCTTTTGCTCTTTGACCCTCCTGGTCTTGTTGCTTGAGCTCCAGATCCTCTTCCTCTCAGTCTCCTCGATTTCTCCGGCATCCGGGGCAGCTCATGATTTTCCCAGGGATTGCTGTCATTTCCTCATGCTTGGACTTGTCATCATCACTGCTCCCACAGCTGATTTTCAGAGTGCTTCCTTTCCCCGTCTCCGCCTTCATGGTGCCTCCTCCACTCCACGTGTTGCTCCTTTCAGTGCTCTGCACAGCTGCTCTGTCCTTATCAGATGACTCTCTTCTTCCCAAGCTGGAGGAGAGCATAGGAAGCCTCCCTAGTGCCCAGAGGTAGGGCAGACATCTCCCAGCAGACCAGACACCCTCTGGCAATGTGAGCCACATTCAACAAACTTCTATTGCATACCTGCGATGTGCCAGGTACTGTGCCAGATGCTGGGGTATGCTGTCACCTAAAACTGGGTCCCTACCCTCAGAGGAGTGCTCAGTTGAAGCAGTCAAATAAATCAATGGCTTCACTATAACATAATGGGCCTATGTTGGGCCACAGTGAACCTATGAGAAAGGACGTTTTATTTAAAAAAAAAATGGAGGGACAGTCAAGTCAACCTGGGGAGCGGGAAGCTCTCAGAGAAGGTGGTGAAGGAGCATTAGAGGTCGAATAGGGGTTAGCTTGGCAAATAAGGCTTGGGGAAAGGGCATGAGAGAAGGCTGCTTCTGTTCCCACCTGGGAAAATGAAAAGGGGAAGATCACTGGGCAAGTGTCCAGTTGCCTTGGATTCACTGGAAAGCTTTCTACCCAGTAGATGGCTGGGCTCCTAGTGAGCGATATTCTCACCAGGGAGAGGGTGTTATGGTAGAAAGAGCTCTCCAATAAGGAAAGTCAAAAGACACAGATGTGGACCTTGGGTCTGCTGTGAACTAGCTATGGAAAGTCACTGAAACTTACCTCATGAAAAATGAGAGAATTGGACAAGATGACCTCTAAAATCCCTTCCAGCTCTAGAACTATTCTCTTCCTTTAAAACATTTGAGAAAATCAAATAAAAACAGATAAGATTCGTACACACTAAGACCTGCTCCTAGGAAGTCGGATTAGGGGTCATTAAAGATGGTGGTGAGAGAACCCGCCCCTTCCTGGTGGGTAGATTGGGCTGGAAGGGAAAAGAAAGGCTCATTCCCCTTTGTCAGGTTGGGATTCCCTCCGTCTATGAGCAGGAGGACATTGGGGCCAAAAAACCACAACTGATTGAGATGCCAGCGGGAACTCTTCCTGTCACGATGTTTCACTCCAGCGCCTTCATTTCTATTATTATACCAAGTGATTTATTCCAAAAACATAAAACAAGCAGCAAAAGAGTAACTGGCTCCCTAAGGAGAGGTCTCTTCCTCTTCCTCTTCCCTGCAAGCTGTCTCCCATGAAAGTGCCTGCCTTATGCTGAGCCTAAGCCCACTCTCTGTGGGAAGAGCTGCGGGGTGGTTAGGGAGAGGGGAACTCAAGGTGCCATCTTTAAGTCTGCCCAGAATACTTGGCCTTCACAGTTCTGATCAGGCAGTTCTCTCTACAAGTTTCTGCTGTAATGTATTTGAAACCTGGGTAAACATCATTCTCTGCCTTGTGCTGTAGTTTTCTCATCTCTTAAATGGGGAGCAAAATTCTTGACAGCTTTCCTTTACAAGACCAGGGAGATGCTAAGACTTCAGTCCTGGCCAGATGATTGGTTGGATCAAACCCATGCCCTCTCTCCTCTGCTTGTTGGTATCCCCATCTGGAGAAGATAAACACAGCCGTGAGCAGTGCCCCTTCTCCCACAGGGCCATCGTGGGGGTGCCTGTTATCGTTACTCCCCAAACCAGGGGGCTAGCAAGAGAAGTGCTTTCATGGAAAGCCTGAGGGCCACCTGCTAAGTCTTTGAAAACTAAAAGCGTAGTTTTAAGAATCCTCCCAATAATTCACTTTGCCTGGCGGCTTCTGACTGACATGGAAATTGGTTAAGGTCAAGCAGAGCCCTGAGTCATGTGGGGGGGTGGGATGGGCAGAGCATGTTACCATGACGTCCTGGGTAATCACTTCCTTCTCGGAATTCAGGAGGACATTTTGCTTGTACAGTTCCCTCATTTGTCACTCAGCATATGCTATCTTATATTTTAGAGATTTAAAAAAAATATAGCCCATCTATATTTTAAGCCTTTCAAGGGAAAGAGTAGAGTGATACATAGTAGGTTTTGAATAAATGATTGGTTTTGTAGTAGATGATGATTATAATCCTAGCTTCAAGATTTATGAATCTATGAAACAAACATAATTGTGAAGTTAGACCATAAAATGTCTTAAAGTCCCGGGCCAACTTCCTCACGGACTTACATGGCAGAAGTTACAATAGTTTGTCTTTAAGATCCTTAAAGATGTGTATATGAATGGAAGATCTACATCTTTCATCATTTGATTCTCATTTTGCAAGTTGCCCGTGATCACACAGTTAGTAGTGACAGAGCTTGATTAGAACACCATCTAATTCAAGGCTCATTTTCTTTCTACTACATCATGATTCCTCTTGGTGTGTGGACAAAGGCAGTGATTTCCCGACAGTTCCGTGAACTCTGTTATGGATCAGGAGACTGAGGCTACAGAGGAGAAGGGAACTGCTCACAGTGACCCCGCTGGTAAGAGGCTGAGCCTGGGATGGAGCTCCAGTCTCCTGATTCTCAGGCAGAAGTCATCACTCATGCCAGGCAGCCCACATAGCCTCCAGCTTTACCATGTTCCAATGTGCTGAGAAGAATATGTGCAAATATGCAAACACTCTGCAGATATTCTGGCAACAAGAGACAGTCAGGCTCTCTGGGTTCTAGAGCAGGGACTGGCACAGCCAAGTTCCCGCTGCTGCTGTGTCTCCTTCCACTAGGGGAGGAACAACGGTCACAGCCATGCCTGTGTTGGTAGTAAAGACCCACCAGACAACCTCTTGGTTGGGAGGTGGTGTGCATGCCCTAGTGGTGGTGGGGGAAGTAGTAGGATTAAAGGGTGCCTTTGTTGCCTGGCTATAGGGATCAGTACCCCATAAGACTTTTAACCACAGCCCTGCTCAGACAAGTCTAATATGTTCTCTTTAGCTTACAGGAAACCACAAAGACAGGAAGATGGCTCGAGACATATGGTGGAAACCAATTAAAACCAGTTGAAGGCAACATGGCAGTCTGAGTTGACCTGACATAGACCCCGCAGCTCATTATACACTCACTGTGATATATTACCATGCTCCGTAACACACCCACCAATGCCATGACAGTTTGTAACCAAATAAGGAAAGAAAAGAGGTGGCATCCTTGTTCCCCTGAAAAGCCTGCCCATTTCCCCAAATAACTATGAATATTCCTCCTCTTCATTACCTTGACCCCTGATAACAACTGCTTAATGGCCCCAAGAGCTGAGAAGTTGGTTTGTTAACTTAAGTTCCCACTTCTCCATTCATGGCCATTGAATAAAGCTTGTTCTGTTGAATGCTCAGCTTTGGTTTCGCTTCAAATCCACGACACTGAACAGGAAAGACCCTTCTGAGGAAGGGAAGGATTGTGGGTACAAGGCCCACCCATGGGCCTCTGCTCAGAGCTCCTCTGAATGTGGGTTGGAGTCCCACCGGAGTGAGGTGAAATTGCTAACACTTTCCTCTTGCCAAAGAGAACTCCCTGCAAAGCAATAAAATGGCAGTGAGCTTTGAAGAGGGCTTTCTAACCACCAAGAAGCCAGTCCTGGATTTTGATGCTGTGTCATTTAGCACAGTTCCTTTCCCACCAACTGTCTGCTATGACACCATGGAGCTAAGTAGCAGAGCTGCTGAAATAACAGTCACGGGAGAGGGAAATTAAGACACATCAGCAAGGGAAAAAGATTCTTTTAAGCAAGGAGGGGAATAGGACAGCAACCGATGAAACAGAAGCAAGATGTCTGTTCCAGGTGGAGAGAGGCAGAGAAGTCTTTTGTGTGGCAGCTGAGTCAGAGATGCAACAGAGAGTGCAACAGCCTGCATTAACGTGGAGCTTATCATAAACATTCACTTATTGATCACATTGCCACCCTATGCGAAGAGGCTCATAGGAACCTTTATTTGACTCTAGGGGGCTAAGCACATGGCTTACGAGCTTGGAAGTTCTGACTCTTTAATTTCAACAAGAGAAGGCTGGAGTGGAGGAGAAGAGAAAAGGCCACAGGGAGGGTTAATTTGCCTGCTTGACGCCTGTCATTTCACATGTGAGAAAGAGTGGTGAGTTCTCATAAGGAAGGGCAGACACGCATCTATTACTCCATTACAATGCTTTTTGACAAGGCTGTGCATCTCAAGCCAATGTATTTGGTCCAAAGACACAGCAATGGGTTTTCCAGGTGGAGGAGGGCAATGTCGAGCAGGTACTTGGCACGAATGTTTAAGTAGGGAACGGTTGTAATAAGACCCCGCCGTGCTTTCAGCCCGAGTGACTGCTGCTCTGCAGCAGGAACATCTATCACTGGCAGGGAGCAGCGTGTCTACCTCCCTGTCACCTGCCTCATGTCTAAAAGAGACACTAAAGATCTGGCCACGGTGGGGTCCATGTCTCCTGGCTCATGTTGCGATTTGTCTAGGAGCATGATGAATATGCACGTTTCCTCTGACATAATCTTTTCTCCTCCTTGGACAGGCATCTACACATGTCCCCTTGTCTCTCCCCAAGTCTCCAAATGGAGGAATGTTCTCAAAAGAAGGTCTTGATTCTCGCTGTACTTTCTTCTCTCTGTCCTCCTCCTTTCTTCCCCAACCCTCACCCTTTCCAGTAACCCCCACGGAGTGAAAGTCTCCCTGTCAGTCTGATAGCCACTGTTAACAAGGGTGTTCTGTGAGCCTGCATGCTGCCTGGCCATGATCTATTCTTCTTTGTGCATCAGAGGGGTCCAAGACTCCCCCACAGGTAATTGAGAAAATTGACGTGCCCGTTACTAGTGATGTGAACTTACAAACCCTGGGACTCACTGATTAGAATCAAATTCTTCTCAAGCTGGATGACCTTCAGAATTACACAATGTTAGAGCTTGAAAGGGTCTTAAAGATTTTCACCTAAACTCCTTCTTTAATAGAAGAGGAACCTGAAGTGCAGAGACGTGACAGGAATTGTCACTTAAAGTTACTCCTTCCTCAACGTTCTTCCCACTACTCCAACTCATCTTTACCTCACTCTACCCTCACTCGTAGGTAGAACTGCTTTTAAGCCATCTCTCCTCTTTCTAAACCTCTTATAAGGGAAAGTGGTTTTAAGCTTGGTATGTAGAAGATGATCAAAGCATCACTTAATCTCTTAAGACAGGACATGCTATCCTAACATCAGGAAAGTCTTTCCATCTAACTTTTATTTGTTTTGCTGCCATGTTTCCTAAACTTTTTCAGTAAATAGAGAGGAGAGGAGTCCCACCCTTATGTATTTTCCCATAGGTGTCAAATAGGCAAATTTATCCTCCCTGTGGTCTTGTCTCTTCTCCTCTGGTCTTGCCTTTTCTTGTTGAAGTTAACAAATCATAACTTCCACATGCATAGGCCGTATTCTTAGCCTCCTAAAGTCAAATAAAGGTTAGTCCATTGGAGAACTGACTCTTTGCCTAATGACAAAAAAGTAATATCGATAAAAGCTTTCTCTTTTATTTCATGCCAAAGTTCAGGTTGATTTATAGGCTAGATCCAGCCTGGCTTCTGGCACTCAAGCATGTCAGAGAGGAAAACTGGGACAGAGAGCAAAATAGAGAGCCTCATAAGTGGGGGCTGTAGAATAAACATGTAGTAGGCAAGTTTCGGGAGAGCTCCCCAATTTTGTACTCTGTAGTTCTTGATATGTGCCCATAAGCATCTTAAAAAGCATTTGAGAAACTGCCAAAAAGCCAAGCTAAAAATACCCTTGGAACAGCGTAATCAAGAAGAAGTACAGAGATGGGTGTGAGCTCTCCATGGAAGGTGTGAGACTCAGAGCATGGGAGCCAGACTGCAGTGCACATCTCAGGCTCTTGTCTAGGGGACTGAACCATGAGGCAGTCTGATGTGCTTGGGGAGGAATGGATGCATCTGCTTTCAGACTCTGTTTTCTTTTTGAATCAGTCCAGCCCAATAGTGTAGCAAGCGTGTCTAATGAGCACCTATTATGTGCCTTAGGATTAAAAGTGTGAAAACACACCCACTCCTCAGGAGAGTTTGAAACCTTCTGATGACTCCCCATTGCCCTTTGTAACACTTATAATTTGGCTTGAATGGCTTCTGGGTTCTCTGTCTAACTCAGTTTCAGGATCCTACTTCTTCTAACACTTAATCATGTGTCTCTGACAAATATTTTCTCTAATCTTCTTTTTCCAGTTATGAACCTTCTGTTCCCAATTATTGGGAACATTTTACCGTCAGCACATTCCCTCCCTCTCTCCTGGGGCTTCCACCAGTAGTTTAAAAATACTCAGACTCTTGCTTTCTGGGAATAGGATCCCACTTCTTTAACCTTTCTACCCAAGATATTTCCAAACTTCATAAGCCTTCCCTCAAGCTTCTCTTAACTTGGGGAGCAAAGAATTGGCCAGAAGAGTGATGGTGAGTGTGGGACAGTCTTGCTTTCTGAGGGTACACCCAGGACTGTGTTTTCCATGTTGATGGAAAACATGTTGAATCGTGTACTTGTTCGTATTTTTAAATAAAAATTGTTATTTGAGACAAAGACTTGTCTTGAGGAATCTATAGTCTAAAGACAGACATCACGACATGGGCAACCATCCACAGGACACAAAGAACCAAGTTTTAAAAAGTAACTTGAGGCATTAAGTGTTTATATCATGCATAGATCAAGGTAAGTGTTTTTGTCACCCTGATATAATTTGGTTAATCTGTCCCTGGCTGTTCTCTCAGGAAACTCTCCCTCCCTTGTACCCTAAATTATTTTCAAAGTCTGTTCCTTTTAAAGGACAGAGGTACAGACCCAGGTGACCTTCTGATTGTAGAATCTTGCTGCTGATTTGTAAGAGATGTCGATTTGATGCTGATTTGTGAGAGATGGATTGAGCTGGAGGTCATAAAGTGATCAAGAGTACTGAGTGTTATTGATGAACTTTTGGGCAGTTTTTCAAAAATGTAAAATACCTGTTTTCATTTGTTCAGCTTTAACCCGTTTGTGTAAATTTCATTTTGTGTGCTATATGGAAATATCCTGTGTATACAGTATATATAATCATTACGTAAAAGTTGACACTCAAGTTTCCTTTGGGGGTAGGCAGGCTTTGCTTTATCTTGGCACTGTGACATGCTTCACATTTTGTGGATGGAGAAATGGTAACTTCATCGGTGGCTGGAGTCCAGGGAAGTTGAAGCAGCCATACTCTTCTCTGAGCTGAGATCCCTCGTGGCCCCTAGGATCCCGTTCTCCTCAGAGATGAGAGCAGGAGAGCCCCTGGAACAGCAGCTCTGAGCTTAATGACATCCTCTGGCTTCAAAAAGCTGAACTGTCTCCTAGTTTACAGAACCTCATAGAGGTGCTGCCTCTGACTGAGCTGGGCAGTTTAGAAAGCCCCAGTAGGAGGGTAGCATTCAATACCCATCTTCAAGGCTGCTGACATTCCTTAATGGGAATTAAGGAATCATTTGGGTCCTAAATCCCTGAGAGAGAGAAGTTATTGTCTCTGGATTCCATACTCTCCTAGCCCTCTTTCCTGGGGTTGCTAGTTGACCTGGTATAGCTCCCCTCTGACCATTGTACCCCATCCAACTCTGGTGTTGATGTTTTCTACAAATTCAGGAGAGAGCTGTGCCTCAGGCTCTCTGAATTCCTGCCACTGCACTCCCTAAGCTCATCCCACAGTCAGCCAAGCGGTCCCTGTGCTCCACCAGTGGCAGTGACCACGAACTGTTAGGGACCTTTACCAGAGCAAACCCAAATTCTCTGCAGTGCCCCATCTGGGCCATTTGGGTGGGCTGGATCTTCTTCTGGAGTTCTTTTCTGAGGTAGGAGCTGGAAGAGACCCCTTTGGGAGGCAGTGGAGACCCCCACTAGAAAATAAAGGCCAGGAGAGGAGAGGTTTTTGTTTGTTTTGTGCATAGTAGATGTTTAATAAATATCTCTTGCATGAAGGAACATGAATGGATACGGTGAGGAATGGAGAAGGCAGAGAGTAAGAGCACTTTGAGACAAAGTAGATACAGAGAAGGAAGTGAACAGATGAAGAAGGACATGACTTACTCCCACCAAGGATCCCAATTCCTTTCCCAATGTTGTATTCTTAGGCAAATTCCTGTAAGTACCAGAGTGATTTGTCCACGAGTTGGATTGAGAGCAGAGCCCAACAAAATCCCAGCATGAAGTCGCTGTGCTAAAGCAGGCATGGTGAGAAAACACGCTGTTGGAGAAAACATGGAAGAGTTAGAGAGCTGGAGAGTCACGAGTCTGCTGTGGAGACGGCAGGTTGGGCAGTTGCACCTGCGTATCTAACTTGTGTGTTTGTCGAGTGGGGCTGGGGAGGTG